CGGTGCCCCAACACCCCCACACACTGGCCCTGCTCTGTGTGTGACGGGGTAGAGCCATAACCTCCCCATCGGCCCTGCCCTGAGTGTGACAGGGTGCGGCACCCCAAGTACCTGATCCGCCCTTCTCTGTGTGTGACAGGGGGTGGTGCCCCAACTCCCCTATCGGCCCTACTCTGTGTGTGACAGGGGGGAGCTCCCCAACCCCGATTGGCCCTGCTCTGTGCGTGACAGGGTACGGAGCCCCAACCCCCTGATGGGCCCTGCTCTGTGACAGGGGGCAGCGCCCCAACCTCCTGATTGGCCCTGCTCTGTGCATGACAGGGGGTGGCGCCCCAACTCCCCAATCAGCCCTGCTCTGAGCCCGACCAGGGGCTGCACCTAGGGATTGGGCCTGCCCTCTGCCACCCAGGAGTGGGCCTAAGCCAGCAGGTCATTATCTCCTGAGGGGTCCCAGACTGCGAGAGGGCACAGGCCGGGTTGAGGGCCCCCCCACCCCCGCTTCCCCCAAGTGCACAAATTTCTGTGCACCGGGCCTCTAGTATTCTATAAATAGGTTACATTTAGTTATGCTTATTACGCCAGAATGAGAATTAATGAAGTTTTCCAAGAACTGAGACCGTATCTGACCCATCTTTGTATCTCTAATACCAAGTACTCAAGACCTAGTATACATAAACTTTCAAAAATTAATTATTGAGCTTTGCCATAAAAGTGGAAGATGAGCCGAAACCGGTTTGGCTCAGTGGATAGAGCGTCAGCCTGCAGACTGAAAGGTCCCAGGTTCGATTCCGGTCAATGTCATGTACCTTGGTTGCGGGCACATCCCCAGTGGGAGATGTGCAGGAGGCAGCTGATCGATGTTTCTCTCTCATCGATGTTTCTAACTCTCTATCTCTCTCTCCCTTCGTCTCTGTAAAAAATCAATAAAATATATTTTTTTTAAAAAAGTGGAAGATGTAAATAATTAGCCTATCAATAATTATATAAAATTATCATTTAAGAAAATAATTTGACAGTCTAAATAATCTATGTTGTATTTCCTTTTAAGAATGTCCAGAGGAACGATTATAGATTTAACAGTATTCATCTCCAATTACATGCACCTTAACTTCTTCAGCAATTAATTTCCACAGCCTTATCTGAAACCATGTACTAAATTAGGCCCATTCCACCATTAAAATCTTGAACTTTAATATAACCCTTTCAGACAAAACCTCCAAATCTTCCAGTTATTTTATTTGTTTTTCACAACTGCTCTTCCACCTAGATAAAATCTTCAACCCTTGG